GTCTGGCACAAAGCGCTTCTTTCGAAGCTTCCTTCCTATGGGCTTCCCGAGAAATTGTGCAAATGGATCACCAGTTTCCTTGCTGATCGGAGCATCAAGGTCGTAGTAGACGATGCATACTCTGATTTCAAGCCTATCAACGCTGGTGTTCCACAAGGCTGCGTGCTATCACCAACGCTGTTTCTCCTGCATATCAATGATATGTTGCTAACTGGTAGCATTCGTTGCTATGCGGACGATAGCACTGGTGATGCCTTATATACCGGCCGTGCCAATATTTCTCGGGAAAACGTCGCTGAGTACCGGGACAAACTTGTGTCTGAAGTCGAGTCTTTGCTTAACAAAGTCTCGGATTGGGGCCGACTAAATCTAGTCCAGTTCAATCCCCAGAAGACACAAGTTTGCGCGTTTACCGCTAAAAAGAACCCCTTTGTCGTATCTCCTCAGTTTCAAGGCACTCCCCTTGCTGCCTCAGCTAGTATCGGAATCCTTGGCGTCGACATATCGAATAGTGTGCAGTTTCGTGGTCACTTGGAAGGGAAGGCCAAATTGGCCTCTAAAAAGCTTGGCGTGCTCGGCAGAGCGAGACAGTATTTCATGCCGGCACATCGCTTGCAACTTTACAAAGCGCAAGTTCAGCCCCACATGGAATACTGTTCTCATCTCTGGGCCGGGGCACCCCAGTGCCAGCTCCTTCCACTTGACCGCATCCAGCGCAGAGCGGTTCGAATCGTCAACGACCGAGTTTTTTCTGATCGGCTCGATACACTGGCACTGCGTAGAGATGTTGCATCTCTTTGCGTATTTTATCGCATCTATCACGGGGAGTGTTCTGAGGAATTGTTCGGACTAATTCCAGCCGCTCAATTTCACTATCGCACATCGCGACAAAACTCGCGTTACCATCCATACCATCTGGATGATTGGCGGTCCACCACTGTGCGAACAAGAAGTTTTCTCCCTCGCACAACTTCCTTGTGGAATCAATTACCACCAGCGAATTTTCCGGACCGATGCGGCTCAGGAACCTTCAAGAAAAGAGCTTACACATTTCTAAAAGGACGGCAACGCATCTGCAATTCCCCTGGTGTTGCGGTTGTTCATGGGCGGCGGTAGTCACTTACCATCAGGTGAGCCGCATGCTCGTTTGCCCCCTCTTCTATAAAAAAAAAAATTTACGTGGCAGTCACGCTGAACTGTATTACTATTAGCATGCTTGGATCATTACCACCGTGGGAGGAACTATCTCGATTCTTTAGACTATTATAATATTGTATTAAGGCAGTGGTCTTAAACATCTTGACCACATTTAAATTTTATAATTCATACGTGGTAAGACCACGCTGAAGCACTGCACCGGTAATGGCCACGCTCTTACAGAATACCAGTGTAAAATTGCAGCTTAATGCTGCTGTGTTTTATGTGCTGAGTGTCGAGAAACGGAGACCTTTTTTACTAGAAACGAGGCACTCCATCTTAGTCCTCACGGGTGACAACACATCTGCATTTTGATTCGTAATCGAGGATAGATGTAGATGTCTATAGGCCACAGCAACCACTTACCATCAGGTGGACTGTTTGCTAGTTTGTCATCCGAATTCTACAAAAATTATCATGTTTAATGTCCATGTCACACCTATGCTGGTAGTTGTTGGGAGCACTAAGCTCGAAGTTGTTGACGAGTATGTACCTGGGACAAATAGTCCGACAAGGTAAGTCCAACTTCGACCGAGAGGTCAATCGACGGATTCAACTCGGTTGGGCAGCGTTCGGGAAATTACGGCACATCTTTTCGTCAGGTATACCTCAAAACTTGAAAACGAGACTGTACAACCAGTGCATGTTGCCAGTAATGACATATTATGTAACTGAGACGTGGTCCTTCACTGCTAGACGGATGAGGACGCTCAAGGTCGCTCAGCGAGCCATGGAGAGGGCTATGCTCGGAGTTTCTCTGCGTGATAAACTTAGAAATGAGGATATCCGCAGTAGAACCAGAGTGACCGACATAGCCCAACGGATTAGTAAGCTGAAGTGGCAATGGGCCGACCATATAGCTCGAAGAACCGATAACCGATGGGGAAAAAAGGTTCTCGAGTGGCCACCTCGTACCGGCAGGCGAAGTGTAGGGCTTTCCCCCACTAGATGAAGTGACGACCTGGGAAGATATGTAGGAAGTCGATGGATGCAGGTGGCTCAGGACCGCGCTTTGTGTCATTCCTCGGGGGAGGCCTATGTTCAGCAGTGGACTTGTGAAGGGCTGTAATGATGATGATGAATATCGCAATGCAAAAACATACCGCAGTTGCTGAGTGATTCGCACCGGTATATGATATCCACCAGGCTTACAGAATTGCACTACAGTTGGTTAAAAAAATATAATATGTAATTATTATGTTACTGAATTGTATGAGACAAAAACAACTCAAAATTTTTAACATACAAATTTATTTCCCAATTTGTATATGGCATGGGATGGATGTGTGGGAAGCTACTTGCGTAGACACTCTGGCGGCCTCTCATCTCAGGGGTACCTCGTTTAGAGCCGGGGCAGCATCAGAGACAGCTGAACTGAGTAAGAGACGCAAATATGACTACATATTTGTGCCATTTGCTGTAGAGACTATCGGTCCGTGGGGTCCAAGTACGGTGAGATTCCTAAAGGAACACCACCTGCGGCTGGTCGTTGCTGCTGGTGATAAGAAGGCTGATTTTTTTCTCGTTCAAAGGCTAAGTATAGCCATTCAGCGAAGAAACGCAGCCAGCGTTCTTGGCGCGATACCGCGGGGTCTGAGGACTGTATGATAATTAAGTTACTAGTTTTTAGGTTTTTTTTAAAATTATAGTTTTTAATATTGTATATATCGGCACAACAAAGTATAAGCGACGTATCCGGCGCATTACTCAAACAATTATTATCGTGTTAAAAATTAATAAGCGTTATTTCAACTGCAGAAATAACGTTATAACTTGATTGTTTATAACATTTTGTTTTATTTTAAAATTAGTTAATTATTGTTACTTATAAATAAGTTAAAATGCTTTAATTCAAAATATAATTAAAAGCAGGTTATCGCGGTAACAATTTGGAAGGTAATTTATTCTCAAGACGCAGGAAGTAGGGATAGCTTCCGCTCGCTTGCGTTGTAGGGATAGCTTCCGCACGCTTGCGTTTGGTTTAAAAGGCGTGCGGCGGTTTGGGCAGCATTCATTCTTGTTCGTGCAGTCGAGCTGTTCAGACCTAGTTGAGTTCGTTAATTATAAATTGTGAATAATTGTTAATAGTGAAGAAACATTAAATTGTGAATAATTGTGATTAGTAAAACCAGTTAAGATCAAATACGTGTAGTGAGTTTTATTATTAAAAACAATAATGAGTGAACCTAGAAATCATAATAATGACGTCATCGATGATGACGTCATAGTTTTTAAAAACTCTTATGGTGGCCCCACTCCGTCATCAGAAGTGGGATGTGAACAACGCTCTTCCACTGCTGCTCGACCATCTGATATTGAACAACCATCTATGTCGGTCAACACTGAAACAATGCAACAGAATCAGTGATAACAGTTCAATGATTAATGTACCATCATAGTTCTTTATGCAAATGATGCATATGATGCAAAACATGTCGGATCGACTAACTACTCCATCGGAAACAAAGGTGAGAATTAATGATATTTATCTAAATAATTTAAAATTTAAAATTTTGTACAGCCGACTTCAATATAAGTTATTTAAGAATAACTTAAAAACTATTGGTCTGACCTTGATCAAATTCATATGGGACCACACGAGAAGTACCAGCTTTCAAATAAAAAAAGAATCATCGAAATCGGTTCACCCAGAAAAAAGTTCTGAGGTAACACACATAAAAAAAAAAAAAAAAAAAACGAAAAAAAAAAAAAACATACAGTCGAATTGAGTACCGGCTCCTTTTTGGAAGTCGGCAGAAAATCTAATCGACGGATTCAACTCGGTTGGGCAGCGTTCGGGAAATTACGGCACATCTTCTCGTCAGGTATACCTCAAAACTTGAAAACGAGACTGTACACCCAGTGCGTGTTGCCAGTGATGACATACGGAACTGAGACGTGGTCCTTCACTGCTGGCCGGATGAGGAAGCTCAAGGTCGCTCAGCGAGCTATGGAGAGGGCTATGCTCGGAGATTCTCTGCGTGATAAACTCCGAAATGAGGATATCCGCAGTAGAACTAGAGTGACCGACATAGCCCAACGGATTAGTAAGCTGAAGTGGCAATGGGCCGGCCATATAGCTCGAAGAACCGACAACCGATGGGGAAGAAAGGTTCTCGAGTGGCAGCCTCGTACCGGCAGGCGAAGTGTAGGGCGTCCCCCCACTAGATGGAGTGACGACCTGGTAAGATATGCAGGAAGTCGATGGATGCAGGTGGCTCAGGACCGTGCTTTGTGGCATTCTTTGGGGGAGGCCTATGTTCAGCAGTGGACTTGTGAAGGGCTGTAATGATGATGATGATGATCTACCTTCATTTGATCCAGATACAAACGTTGGAGTACGTGAATGGTGTCAACATATTAGTAAAGCAATTCAGACGTACCACCTCAATGATTTTGATATACGCATGAAAGTTGGCAGCTTATTGAAAGGACGCGCTAAAATGTGGGTCGACGATTGGATGATAACTACATCTACTTGGGAAGAACTTCGCAACAATCTTATAACTACATTTGAACCAGAAAACCGGTATTCTCGGGACATATTAAGATTCAGGGAACATGTTTTTGATTCTTCAAAAGATATAGCGGAATTTTTATCGCGAGCCTGGGTACTATGGAGACGAATTACCAAAGACAAGTTACCTAATGAAGACGCAGTTGAGGCTGTAATTGGTTGCATTAGTGACGAACATTTACGGATCGAACTATTAAACGCGCGCGCAACAACAGTGCCAGAACTTATATCTATTGCATCCTCAATACGATTAAAGCGCGTTCATCCATCAAATAGTAGTATGACGATGCCAAATAAACGTCCGCGTTTATCAAACAATAGTAATGCTCACGCTCTATCATTCTGTCACATCTGTAAAAGGAAAAACCATTCTGCCGATGAATGTCGTTTCAAACCAACGGCATTAAATCAGGAACAATATAGTAAAAGAGGTGAAAGTAATAGTAAACCTACCTGCACATTTTGTCAAAAATTAGGACATACTTACGACCAATGTTTTAAGCGTGATCGTTCTTTGACATCAAATATAAATCACATCGAAGGTACAAAACTCGCCCCTTTAACTATCAGGATAGGAGTAAAAACTTTACGGGCAGTGTTTGACAGTGGTGCAGAATGTTCAGTTATACGGGAATCTGTAGCCGCTGCTCTGCCTGGACAAAGAGTTCAAACGGCTAACTACTTGAGAGGTATTGGACGATTTCCCGTATTATCACTCACGAGTTTACTGACTATATGTGTCATAGATGATATCAGCGTAGAGATTCAGTTTTATGTTCTCGCTGACTGTGAGATGTCGACGGACATTCTGGTTGGCATGAATTTGATTAAAGGCACAAACTTGAGTGTTATAGTAACGTCTAGCAAAACAAAATTAGTGCACCAAGGACTTATCAATCATATCACTACAAATAGTCCAATATTTGGAAAACTAGACTGTGATCTTTCCGACCCTGAAGAGATCAAACAACTTCGCATACTCCTCAATAAGTATGAACACTTATTTATTCGAGGATACCCTAAAACCCGAGTTAACACAGGTATGTTGGAAATCAGATTAAAGAATCCGGAAATACGTAGAACGAAGACCATACCGCCTCAGTCCAGTGGAGAGAGAAAAGGTTCGTACCATTGTCAACGAATTATTGAAGCACAATATTATACGTGAGAGCAAATCCCCATACTCTAGCCCAATTATCCTAGTTAAAAAGAAGAATGGAGATGACCGCCTTTGTGTAGACTTCCGCGAGTTAAATGCTAATACCTTGCGGGACCATTACCCACTTCCACTCATCTCCGACCAAATCGATCAACTGGCCAATGGACTCTACTTCACCACATTTGATATGGCGGCAGGTTTCCATCAAATACCTAATTCGGAGAGTTCCATAGAGAAGACTGCATTCGTTACGCCTGATGGATTATACGAATACCTTACTATGCCATTCGGTTTATCCAACGCGTGTGCAGTATACCAAAGATGTATTAATAGAGCATTGTTTTCGTTACTGGGCAGTGCTGCTCAAGTTTACGTCGACGATGTCTTGAGCAAAAGTGCTGATTTTACTCAAGGACTAATAAACATTGAACGCATTCTCATAGCATTACATAAGGCTGGGTTTTCTATCAATGCGGATAAGTGCAGCTTCTTCAAACGCTCAATAGAATATTTGGGTAACGTTGTTTCAAATGGTCAAATCCGTCCAAGTCCAAAGAAAGTTGAAGCTCTAGTCAAGGCACCAGTACCGAATACTGCTAAAAAGGTAAGACAGTTCAATGGTTTAGCTGGATATTTTCGGAAATTCATCCCCGATTTTTCCCGTATAATGATGCCCTTGTATGAGTTGACTAAACAAGGTGCTAAATGGGAGTGGAATGATCGACACGAAGAAGCACGTAATAAGATAATCCAATGTCTGACATCATCTCCTGTGTTAACAATATTTCAAGAAGAAGCACCCATAGAATTATACACGGATGCAAGTAGCTTGGGATTCGGTGCCGTTCTAGTACAAATTATCAACAAACGTCAACATGCAATCGCCTTCATGAGTATGAGAACTACTGATACTGAAAGCAGATATCACTCGTACGAACTAGAGACCTTGGCGGTAGTGCGTGCAATAAAACATTTTCGGCAGTATCTGTATGGACGGAAATTCAAAATTATAACCGATTGCAATGCCTTAAAGGCATCTAAGCACAAAAAGGATCTCCTTCCAAGAATTCATCGGTGGTGGGCGTTTTTACAGAACTATGATTTTGAAGTAGAATACCGCAAAGGAAATCGCCTGCAACACGCCGACTTCTTTAGCAGAAATCCAAGTAGTTGTAAGGTTAATATAATGACAAGAGACTTGGATTGGTTGAAGGTGGAACAACGCAGAGATGAGACATTGCGTCGCCTGATGGACAGCTTCAACAACGGAAATCCAGTAGATGAGAGATGTGAGAGACCCAATTTTTGGACAGCAAATCTGTGTTGTAGTTCCTAGATCTTTCCAGTGGAGTATAATAAATTCATTTCATACAGCGCTTAAACACCCTGGATGGGAAAAGACTCTACATAAGATCAAAGAATCTTACTGGTTTGACAAAATGAGTACCCTGGTGCGCAGGTTTGTGGACAACTGTATCGTGTGTAGAACATCAAAAGGAACATCGGGCGCTGTACAAGCTCAACTACATCCAATCCAAAAGCCAACTACAGCCTTTCAAGTGATACATATGGATATCACTGGCAAGCTCTGTACTACAGATGCCCAGCAATATGTCGTAGTAACTATCGATGCTTTCTCAAAATATGTGCTGTTTTATTATGCTACCGATAAGAGTCCGCACAGCACATTAGCTGCACTAAAACGTACTATACACCTATTTGGAACACCACTTCAAATAATTGTGGATGGAGGCAGAGAATTCTTGGGGGAATTCAAGACTTATTGCCAACAGCTAGGAATAGACATCCATGATATATCACCAGGAATCAGCCGAGCTAACGGACAAGTTGAGCGAATAATAGCAACGCTTAAGAACGCATTAATAATGATAAAAAATTATGAAACGGAACAATGACATACTGCATTAGAAGAACTTCAGTTGGCCATGAATTGTACTGCTCATCGAGTAACAGGTGTCGCTCCCCTCACTCTACTCACAAGACGAAAACACTGTGTTCCACCGGAACTACTCGGATTAGTAAATATGGATAATCAAACTATTGATATTGACGCCCTTTCCAGACATGTGCAGAATAGAATGTCTCAAGCATCGGAACAAGATAGACAACGATTTAATCAACGAAAAGCTAAGATCTATCATTTTCAAAAAGGAGAATACGTACTTATCAAAAATAATCCACGCAATCAAACCTCATTAGACCTTAAATTTAGTGAACCCTATGAGATATGCAGAATACTTGAAAACGATCGTTATTTGGTGAAAAAGGTAATTGTCAGAGGACGGCCTCGAAAAGTCGCTCACGATCAACTACGTCGGGCCCCACAGCCAGGGATTCAGAGGGCCGTATCAGCGGAAAGAGAGCCATGCTCTGGTGATATTAGTGCAACAAGTGAGCCCGGGCCGTCAACTTCTTAAGAATCATAACAGCAGAACTTAACTCAAGAACAAAACTTCTAACTATTGCAAAATAATTTTCTGTTTTCTCTTTTAGAGCCCCTGTGTATAACACAGCATCGACCTAATCCTAATTCCTATAGAGCCCCTGTGTACCACGGCGAACAGGAACGCCCAGAGCACAGCATCACTCCATTTCCATTCTACGAGACTACGAGAATTATGTGTGTAGACGTGATGTATGGTCGAAACACAAATAACAAAATAATTTTCTGTTTTCTCTTTTAGAGCCCCTGTGTATAACACAGCATCGACCTAATCCTAATTCCTATAGAGCCCCTGTGTACCACGGCGAACAGGACCGCCCAGAGCACAGCATCACTCCATTTCCATTCTACGAGATTACGAGAATTATGTGTGTAGACGTGATGTATGGTCGAAACACAAATAAATAAACAAACAGCAGTAAAGCTGTAAGAATAAAATTGGTAGGTGCTGAGCACGCACCACCAATCAGAATGGCCGTATCGGCGCAACAAAGTATAAGCGACGTATCCGGCGCATTACTCAAACAATTATTATCGTGTTAAAAATTAATAAGCGTTATTTCAACTGCAGAAATAACGTTATAACTTGATTGTTTATAACATTTTGTTTTATTTTAAAATTAGTTAATTATTGTTACTTATAAATAAGTTAAAATGCTTTAATTCAAAATATAATTAAAAGCAGGTTATCGCGGTAACAATTTGCAGGGGTGTCACTTCCACTATGGAAGGTATGGAGCACTCCATACCTCAAGTTTTTCAAGGTATGGAATTCCATAGCTGAAATTAGGAAATAAATCGCATATTACTACAAACCCCATATAAATAAATCGCAAGCCCTTAAACCTCAATACCCCACATCTTATAGTTCAATAAATAAGTTGAGTATATACACTGCAAACTCTTAAACCTTAATACCCCACGAGTAATGCGAACAAATTTGAAAATCGCGCCACCATTTTCCATACCTCAGATTTTTACAAAGTGACACGCCTGACAATTTGGAAGGTAATTTATTCTCAAGACGCAGGAAGTAGGGATAGCTTCCGCTCGCTTGCGTTGTAGGGATAGCTTCCGCACGCTTGCGTTTGGTTTAAAAGGCGTGCGGCGGTTTGGGCAGCATTCATTCTTGTTCGTGCAGTCGAGCTGTTCAGACCTAGTTGAGTTCGTTAATTATAAATTGTGAATAATTGTTAATAGTGAAGAAACATTAAATTGTGAATAATTGTGATTAGTAAAACCAGTTAAGATCAAATACGTGTAGTGAGTTTTATTATTAAAAACAATAATGAGTGAACCTAGAAATCATAATAATGACGTCATCGATGATGACGTCATAGTTTTTAAAAACTCTTATGGTGGCCCCACTCCGTCATATATAATAGAATATTTTATAATAAAAAATTGTATATTTATTCATATCTCTCACTCAATTACTCCTCTGCTTAAAGTTACGCTATTCAAAGCCGAGGGAAGCGCCTAGTTCATCAATGGCATAGATTATGTTCCCATCGAACAAAAACAACGTACACGTGCGTTCTAATTCGACGGATCCGGGTTCGAGTCCCGGTGACCTCATACTTCAAACTAGGGGTACGTATATATTGTATACGTATAGAGACGTCTGTCGATATTGTTTTAGAGGGGTGTTAGTGAGTTTTAATAGTGCACTAAGACGCGTTTTAGAAATTTAGTTTTGAAAACTATCAGTGAACTTGCATAAAATATTTTACGTTTAAGTGTTTTAATCAATTATAATTTAATTTTTGATCTTGTAAATTATGTAAGAAAATAAAAATTTTCAAAAACAAATGTCATTTTATACAGTACCTATACTTTGTTAAAAGAAAAAAATAGTGTTTACGTTTAGTATTCTGTCATATATTATTTCTATTAGACTTTTTTAAAGTTACAGTGTATATACGTCCCACTGCTGGGCACAGGCCTCCTCTCATTTCTGAGAGGGTTTTAGGGCGAGGAAATGTCCGCCGCGCTGCCCCACTGCGTGTAGCGAACTTCACATGTCTTCGAAATATATTTTTTTCTTATTTCTCAGACATGCAGGTTTCTTCACGATATTTTCCTTCACCGCCGAGCACGTGGTAACGTGGTTAGAATTTCGTATGTCCCTAAATTAATGTTTTAATACCCATTTTGTCGTTGTTTTAATACCGCTTTTTTATTTAACTTATTAACCATACGTAATATCCGGATCCAAGTTAGGTGTATATTGCTAATTTATATACGAGTTAAAACTAGCGACATACCCCGGCTTCGTCTGGTTAGGATCTATTAATTTGACGTCATTTATATTTAAGTTAATCAAAATAAAAAGATCTTTTAATATTATAAATTTTTAAACTTATCAAAAAATCCTCGTAGATAAAAAATAACCTACGTCGCTCCTGAAGTTTTATTACAATCGATTCAGCCATTCCGAAGATTATAGACAAACAGAAAGACAAGAACATTATAGATTTTTTTATCTGTATGTCTTATTCATATTTTATTGTGATTTTATTTTTTACATATCTACTCCTTTGTATATTGATATATTATGTCTTAATGGCATGCAAATTACCCATGAGGTAAATAAAACGCAATTATTTCGATTAATATAGACAAAGCACTTTAATTTTATTTATTTGTGTAGATTTTGACATGATGTAAGGTAAGTAAGGGTAATATCATCTATGATGAGTTTGTAATATGGTCACCTTTGTCGCCCTATAAAACCAAAACTAGGAGGAGGACTGAGACAAATACTCAATGTCGTATATTATAACTAATATATTAAGAAAAAATAGCAAACAAGCCTTGGCAATAATTAGGAACACTTCGAAAAATCAACTTAAAGAAAACTAACTACACTACCCAATACTAAAATATTAATTTACTATAAAAAAATTATACGCGGTAGAGCCATGCTGCAACTATATTAGTATTATATATGTATTATGTATGTATGTATTAGTTGTAGCACGAATGGGTCGGCTCGACCGGGGAAGGACCACGCTCTCACAGAATACCAGCGTAAAATGGCAGCTTGACACTGCTGCGTTTCGTATGGCGAGTGTAGAGAACCGGAGACCCATTTTACTGGAAAAGAGGCATTGCATTCTAGTCCTCACGGGTGACAACGCAACTGCATTTTAATTCTTTATTGAAGGTAAATGTAGATGTCTTTGGGTCACAGCAACCACTTACCATCAGGTGGACTGTGTGCTCGTTTGTCACCCTATCCTATAAAAAAAATATACATAGAATTGCAAGTAAAGAGAAATAGCACCCGAACGAAGTCACTACTTCGTGACAACCAGATCATATCTATCATATATTTGATAATTTTTCTTTTTCATAGGATAAGGGTGACAAACGAGCACACAGTCCACCTGATAGTATATGGTTGCTGTGGCCCATAGACATCTACATTTATCCTCGATTACGAATCAAAATGCAGATACGTTGTCGTCACCCGTGAGGACTAAGATGGAATGCCTGGTTTCCAGTAAAAAGGGTCTCCGGTTCTCTACACTCACCATACGAAACATAGCAGCATTAAGCTCCTATTTTACGCTGGTATTCTGTGAGAGCGTGGTCCTTCCCCGGTCGAGCCGACCCATTCGTGTTACAACTATACCAGAAATATAGCTGCAACATGGCTCTACGACGTACAAACTTTACTTACTTTTTAATTTTTTTTTAGCTGTCTCAGTAGAGAGACTTGTTCATGAATGGCATAATTAACAATTTCCTAATTTCTAAAAAATGTAATTGGATAAGTCACCTGTAAAGATTATGCAGATTACAAATGCGCAAAAAATTTGTGAATGAAATTAAAATATTACCTCACCTCACTCACAAAACACGTGGGAACGAGTAACAAGATAGTAAATTTTCGCGCCCATAGTCAATATCTATGGTATTGTTCTTTTTTTTCGGATGTGCAAGGACAAAGTGTGATAATGCTATTGTCTCTCTGCCGCAAGAAGGACGCACGTGTCTGTAGCAGGTCTCACTTTGTTTTGTTTATTAAATTTTTTTTTCGCTGTAGTGGGACACCTGAGTGTAGTGTCATTCATAAAGTTTGTGCGACGTAATCATTCAGCAATTTGCGTTTACGCCGTGGGAACTGAAATTTAAGGGGAATTATGACTGCAGTGTGGCTTCCGATTGAAGATGTTTTGTTGACATTCCATAGGTATTCGTGTTCGAAATAAGCGTTTATATTTTTATATAGGTAAGTATAAAAATCGATTGCTGTCCGTTAGTCTCGCTAAAACTCGAAAACGGATCGAACGAAATTTAAATTTTTTAAGTTTTAAGTTAATGTTTTTAAGTGGGTCCCGAGATGGTTTAGATTCACAATTGGCTCCGGTAGGTGGCGCTGCTGTGGAGATCCAGAAATCACCCGTGCGATGCCGGGGCAGATCGCTGGTATTTTTATAAAAG